CGGATGGCGGCCTGCGGCAAGTGCAGACAGGCTAATGGCCGAGTGCTGTGATGTGCCGAGTGTGGGCACTCGGGGCACTCCAAGTCAGGACTGCTTTGCTGTCCCTCATCGAGGTAGACAAGCAAGCGGGGAACCCTGAGAACTGTCTGTCCGGGGTGGGGGTCGGGTCCCTTTAAGCACAGCCCTCGGCTAGCCTGAGACAGCAGCTCCACGCTCTAAGTCCTAACCTGATGCCCTGCCGGCACTGCTTCCAGCCAGCCTTAACTTCGGTTCAGGGTCCATTCAATGTGGACATGCTAGTTCGAATTAGCAAAACGCTAATTTGAACTACAGGCAGTCCCCGGGTTACATGGATCCGACTTACATCGGATCCCTACTTACAAACGGGGTGAGGCAGCCCCGCACTAGCTGCTTTCCCCCAGCAGACCACGGAGACGCGAAGCTAGCGCGCCCCCCAGCAGACCAGGGAGACGCGGAGCGGCTTTTCTCAGCAGACTCCTCAGCTTGAGAATAAAGGACTGAGGGAAGTGAGGTGTGGGAGAATAAAACTGAGCTCTGGAGAAATGTTTGGCTAGAGTTTCCCCTACAATATGTACCAGTTCCGACTTACATACAAATTCAACTTAAGAACAAACCTACAGTCCCTATCTTGTACGTAACCCGGGGACTGCCTGTAGTTTTTAGGTCTAGATGCACTAGTTTGAATTAGCTTAGTTCGAATTAACTAATTCGAATTAAGTTAGTTCGAATTAGTGCTGCAGTGTAGACATACCCTCACAGGTTTTGACTGATCAGATGTGACACATTTGTAAAAGATGGCAGGAACAGAACTGTCTGCAAATAAAAATGCTAAATTTTATAAAATACTAAACCTGCCAGAAATAAACGGAATGCCTAATGTCAGATAACTTTTTAAAGATGTTTAAGATGACTTACAGATGCAATAGATATATAACAATCCATGCATTTACCTTCCGTGTCTCCTGCACTTGTGGGCTTTGGATCACCTCCTGTAAGAACAAATAATTTCAGTGTTAAAAGAAACATTTTTAGAGAACAAACTTATTACAATGAGTATCCACATTGTATGTCAATGCATGCAAAATGATCAGCCTTCTCCAGATGCTACATCAACAAAGTTAACAGACTTTGAAACAAACTTCAGGTTTAAATAATAAAGAAATTACATAAAATATGTTAAAAGTCTATTTAAGGCTGTAAAGTCAAGCACTCAAAAGTAGGAAATGCTAGACCTAGAGTTTCCCATTTAAACTTAATTCAGTCCTGTTGGGTGTATTATTGCAATACACTCTTTAATTACATCATTACAGTCTATTTTTTCTACAGGATCCTGCATCACAAGCATGTGATGTATGGTTCCCAGAAAATAAATAGTTATTAAATTTTCATCTTATTCTCACAGTTCAATGTGGGGTCTCCATATCTTATTTACTGCACACCATTCATACTCTGTGTTGGAAACAAAATTATCAGAAAACCCCATGACGAAATCTATGCTGAATATCACCAAATTATCTGAATGCTTCACATCCATTAATTTAGTTTCACAACAGCTCCATGTGGTAAGGTAGCATTAGTATCTTTATTTTACAAATGATAAACTGAGCCTCACAGATTAAGGTTACTAATTTTGAGTGACAGAATATTTAGCACTGGGTTCAAAACTTCAGGGTTCCCACTGACTTCAGTTGCAGCTGTAAGTACTCAAAATCTCTGCAAATTAGGCCCCAGAGTCTCATACTGGGAAAATGGCCATCTGTAAAGAGTTGGGTTTAACTCTGGCAAAGACAGCAACAGAATCCAGTTCTCCTTTGCAGCATTCAAGGCTATGTCTACACAGCAACATTATTTTGAAATAATTAGCATTATTTCAAAATAATGTCAAAATACTGTCAAGTTGGAGGGCTTCTTACTCCTATTCCTGTAACCCTCATTAAATGAGTAAGGGAAGTCAGAGGAAGAGTGCTCTATTTTGAAATAACTGCTGTGTAGACAGCATCAAAAACTTGAAATAAGCTACTTCAAAATAAGCTACACAACTGATGTAGCTCAATTTGGTAGCTTATTTTGAGTTAAATCCTGCTGTGTAGACATGCCCCAACTGTGTGTATATGTAACCATCAGAGATTTTCCTTTCTGATCTTGCAGTCCCCTGACTCATTCCTTATGCACTTTTCAACTTCTGTAACAATTGAGGCGAGGTGCTAGAAGTAACAGCCTTATACATTAGCAGCTATGATTCATTCCCAGTGCACCATTTTTCTGATGCACTGAATGAGGTAGGGCTCCTATGTGACCGTGCAACTGAAGTCTAGCATGGTGCACAGGCAACCTTAGTTCTGGTATTTCTTAAGTTCTGAATGACTGACTCTGCAACCTCAATATGTCTCTTAATGTGGTTGTGTGTATAATTTCTTAGGCATTTATCTTCTGACAGCAGGGAATGCGGATACTCAAGAATCTCAGGTGCTGGAGGTGTGTGCTCTAGTGGGCACTGGCCCTTATGCCCCATCCCCTCCAACCTGTCTTTCAGTCCTGTTTCTTCCTCACACCTGACTTCTCCTCCCACCAAGTTTCTAGTCTCCATACCTTATTGTCCCAATCTATTCTTTCCCACTCCCAGTCTAGCTGTTGTGCCCTTTGTTCAAGTCAGATGACTTCCTCATCCTTGCTGATGATGTCAGCATGGAAAGGATAGGAGAGAGTCTCCACATTCTCAGTTCTGATACCTGGCACCACAGCAGCATGCAGAAGTTGGGAACAGTAATTACAGGGAAAGTTCTGCTCACTGGCTGACAGCATTGGCTGGCACATTTACAGTGTGGACAGGACTCATAAGAACATTTAACTGCAAACTGAAGTCTCTACTGAGCATGTGTGTGGCAGGGCACTTGCCCTGCACTGGCCCTTTAAGGGCAAGCCTCAGCCCTGAGCAAGGGCTGAGAGTAAAGCCCCAGCTGAGGCAGGTCTCGCTAATTAGGGCCCAGCTGTGGGCTATATAATGAAGGACTCCTGGAACAGTGGGAGAACTGACTGTGGCACGGGACAGAGAGTAGCAGGGACCTGACTGCTAGGGAAGCAGGAGGCTTCCTGGTGAGGCACCAGGTCCACATCCCTCTTTGCCAGTGATGAGTAGCCATTATAGACTGCAGTTGGCCCATGAGGCAGGGGTTAGATGAGGACTGGCAGTGGGTCACTGAAGCAAAGGGGATACAGGGAGGACCCTGGAGTACATGCGGAGGAAATAACACCCTCTCGGAAGGGGACGCAGAGAGACCAGAGTGGGCACTGCCGGAGGGCAGTGCCTTGAAGGGGACGCTGTGGCCAAGAGGAGCACTGGAAGACACCACCTAGAGGGAGGCACCCAGCAAGGCAGGCGAGCTAATTCTCAGGACTGCCGCCTGGAGGTGCCAGGGTGGTGAGTCAGCCCTGTGACAATGTGTAACCAGATTTTTCAAAGGCTTATAACTGGCTAAATTCCAGTAGGTTTTTCCCAAATGGGAAGAGCAAGATGCACATTCCTGGCACCAGAATTATTCCTTTGCCTGGCCCAAAGCAAGGCACTAGACTAGAGCTTCTCAATAGAATGGCTAGGGAATTTTTTTTTTTTCAAAAAGCACCTAAGTATTATTTTCAGAAAGTAACCTAAATCGCATTGAAAGTCAATAGGAGGTAAGCTCCTAAGACACTAAACATGGGGGTGAGGTACATGTGGAAATTTTACCCACTGTGAATGCTGAAATCAGCACCACTTCCATATCATGCCTAGTCTTAAACCATTTGTTAGGGTTCCTGAATCAATTCCACTCCACTGGATCGTCATTTTTTTTCTGAATGAAGTATATTATAGTTAAATTAGAAGATATCAATTTCCATGCTTCAAAGAGACCAGGACAAAATCTAGCTTTCCTAACTCATTTTAACCAGCCTGTGACACAAAGTTTAGGCAAAAACTAGGTAGCAGTGGGTTTCACTATGAAGTGCTGGACATTTTCTTACCCCTTTTTTTTGGTGGAGTGTTTTCACCATCAATTAAATCTTCATCCTTAAAGCTACCTGTAATAAAAATAAAAAAATAAATAAATGGTTATCTTTCCTTTTTAAGTGTTCATTCCTGATTTTGACTCTTCCTTTATCTCTTAAACCCTTTCTAGTTTCTGTAAGCTGATAGGAAAGGCAAGTTTTGTGAAAAATAACTATTGGAACATGTCTCATACATTTATCCAAGGCTATGGCTACAGGGCCTTTTTTCTGGAAGAAGGTATGCAAATTATGCATGCATTTGCATATCTTTTTCCGATTCTTTTTTGGCAAAACCTCTTCTGCAAAGAGTCAGAAAAAGATATGCAAATGCATGCATGATTTGCATACCTTCTTCCAGAAAAAAAGGCAGTGTAACCATAGTCCAATACATGCTGAAAACGATGTTTTACTTCACATATGACAAAAGCAAAGTTTTAAGACAGATTCTCAAGAACAATCTTAGTGCAATGCCATAACTACTCCACTGAGGTGTGTCTCACCAACAAAGGTATGTTAAAAATTCAGCTATACTATTAGAATTTAAAAATCCAAAAAACGTTAGAAGTTTACAGGCAGTCCACGGGTTACATCAATCCAACTTACGTCAGATCCCTAGTTACAAACGGGGGGGGAGGGGGGACAGCTAGTGCGGGGTGCGTCCCCCACTGTCGCCGCCTCTGGCGGCGCGGGGGATGCTTCCCCCCAGCAGACCAGGGAGACGTGGAGCTAGCGCCCCCCTCCCCCAGCAGACCAGGGAGACGCAGAGCGGCTTTTCTCGCCGCGGAGGATGCAGGTCTGCTGGGGGGGAACAAGACACCAGCCAAAAGGGGGCACCCCAGAGCGGAAAAATTAATTTCCTAGGGAACAGCAGGAGCAGGAGGCAGTGAGACCCATTGTGTTACATCTTCAGCACTAGAACTGCAAGTATCTTGTTAGCGTCACGTGAAATTAACAAGTCCCTTCCAGCCTGGCAGAGGTGAAGCTGAAAAATTACCCAGTGGTGTGGGTGGGCAAGAATGGGGAGGAGCAGGGTAGAAGGGAAGAGGGAATAAGCCCCAACCCCAAACCCTGGCTGGAGCAGAGCAGGGTAAGCCCCGAGGGGGTGGGTCTGGTTGCAAAGTGGGTGAGTGGACAATGAGGACCCACCTGTGGCTAAACTCCTGTTCCCAACACAGAATTTTTCTTAAAATGAATCCTGTGGATAGATTCACACACATACTTCACAGGAAGGGATTTCCATTTTCTGCTCAGCAGAATACAACAGCAGCTTTGATTGTATCAATATTTCACTGTGCTCTCCAATGACTATTGATTACACTTAATACGCATTTCACTGAACCATCTGTAGAAAATTCTATTTGGAACAGTAATATGCACTGAATAAACTTTTTTTAGTTATAAAAACCAAAGATTCTGACTATTAAATGAATAACTGGGATCTTTCAGGTACCCCAAAAGGAAGATTTGGATATAGCATGAAACACTGAAACTTATGATAAATTTTTAATTAAAATATCAACCAAAAAAAACTTCATATAAAAACAGTATGTGTTTTTCTTAGAATAAGGAAGTTGTATGAAAATCAGGTTCTTTTCCACCTAACTCCAGCTCCCCGTCCCCCCGCAAAATATGTACCAGTTCCGACTTACATACAAATTCAGCTTAAGAACAAACCTACAGTCCCTATCTTGTACGTAATCCAGGGACTGCCTGTATATGTAATTTCAATAGAGCAGATTCCACATGGTATAGGTTAACACAGAGTAGCTTCAAACTGTACACATAACCTTTCGATCAATTAGCAAGTTTGATCAGAACAACACTAAGAACACTTGTCAAGGTGGGATAAATCAGATCACTTATTTAGGTGCCTTGTTTTAGGCACTCAAATGCAGATATTGATCCATACCTACCCATTCTCCTTTTTAAAAATGAAAGAAGGAAACTGACTTTCCTGTTCTATTATTATCACACTTAGGCTACGTCTAGACTGGCCCCTTCTCCGGAAGAGGCATGCAAAGCAGGTAAGTCAGAATAGGGAAATCCGCGGGGGATTTAAATATCCTATGGAAAAGGGCTTTATTCCGGAGGATCGCACCAGTCTAGACGTTTTCCGGCTTTTCCCCAAGCTGGAAAAAAAGCGGCAGACATGTTTATTTAAATCCCACGGGGGATATTTAAATTCCCCGTGGATTTCCCTATTCTGACTTACCTGCTTTGCATAACTTTTCCGGAGAAGGGGCCAGTCTAGACGTAGCCTCAGGGTATGTCCACACTACCCCCCTAGTTCAAACTACGGAGGCTAATGTAGGCATTCGAAGTTGCAAATGAAGCCCGGGATTTAAATATACCGGGCTTCATTTGCATCTTCCCGGGCACCGCCATTTTAAAATCCCCCTTAGTCCGAACTCCGTGCCCGCGGCTATACGCGGCATGGAGTAGGTAGTTTGAATTAGGTAAATCTTGTTTGCAATTCTGTCTGTTCAGGAACTCCTCCTAAATGGTAAGAGCTAGGATCACCAAATTTGGTCTGCAGCTTCCTCTTCTAACTTAAAGCAAGGTCAGAGTTTGGTTGTGCCGGGACAATCAGAAGTCCCTGGGAAAGGAACAGTTTTCCATAACATGCAAAAGGAGGGGTTGCAGTCCCCCCATCCCAGCCTTTGGCCACAACACTGGAGGAGAAGGGAGGAAGAACAGGCCCTGGGCAGGCTGGGGGGGTGGAGGGATAGGCTGGAGAGCGGAGGAGAGAATAGCCTTGGGGGGGCTGAGGGGATAGACTGGGAAAAAGCGGAGAAACAGGCTCCTGGCCCCCAGCTTCCTGCATCTCCCCCACCTCTCCAAAGGTCCTTTACCCGCCCTGAAGGACTCAAGCAAGACCGGGTAAGCCTGCGAGTGATTTATATGCAAAATTAAAGCAACAGGCATTTTCTCTTAGTGCTCAACTGTACCTTCATCCAAGTTCATCAAGTTCACTATTTGCACAGTCAGAAGTAAATGCTTACCACCAGTATTATCCTTGCTTCCAGGTTGAGGTTTTCGGTCATCTATTAAAAATATTTTTAGGGGGAAAAAGGGTTAAAATTGCAAGTGAGTAAAGTGCAGAAAACAAGCTAGGCTTGTAAGAAAGCTATTCCTACTTTTTTTGTGTTTCTCTGTGTCATCTGCCCCTTCCCATAACTTATGTTTACTAATATAGTAGGTGGTATCATCCACTATGTTCGAGACTGAATTAGAATCTCTTAAAATCCTCTCCATTTCAAACTATCAAATTTCATTTCAATTTTTGTCTCTGCAGTTTAGGGCCTGCTGCTACTCCAATTGAAGTCAGGAGCAAAACTCCTAGGCTACGTGTACACAGCTTCCCTCTTCCACAAGAGCCTATGCAAATGAAGCACAGATTAGCATATTTCTGCACTTTGTTTGCATAATTTATTTGGGGCTGTTTTTGTGTATTTGGGTGTCCGGACCTGCTCCCTATTCTATTCATTGGGGCTCCATCTACACAATGCCTTTTTGCGCAAAAACTCCCTTTTGTGCAAGAACCATTCTTCCTGTGTAGACAAAAACAGCTTGGAATAAATTATGCAAATGAAGCATGGCACTATGTTAATCCACACTTCATTTGCATAGGCTCTTGTGGAAGAAGGAAGTTGTGTAGACGTAGCCACAATGAATAGAATAGGGAGCAGATCCGGACACTAGCATGAAATTTTTAGAACTAGTTAGCTAGCATCAAGAATTCATCAACTTTAGATTATGGAACTGAATTTGAGACTGACAGTTTTGTAGATCTGAGTCTCAAAGAAAAAATCCATGTGAAGAAGAAAATCAGTTAATTTTGAGTTCATTCAAATTAAGAACACTTAAAATTGGCAAAACTCCAAGATCTCATTTTGTTTTATTTATACACACATAACTATAAATGCACATGTAAAAGTGTACTTCACACACAATATACGCTAGAGAGGTGAACGGGTGATGCTTACTGGGTAATGGTTAACCAGTTCCCTGAGAGCAGCCCCCTGCAAGCAGCCCCAGCACAGAGCTAGAGGGCTGGAGCAGTGAGATCCTGCTTAGTTGGTTAACCAGTTAAATGTTAACTAGTTAACTGACCGACCAGGACTTTACATCCCTAATATACACACACAGTTGATTCTATAAACATGCAATTAACTAATAAAGGTCACTAATTCATCTGTTCCAATTGGCAATTCTATAAAAACGAAGACTCTTTTGTTTCACGAAACAGTAAAAGAAAAGAGTAAATGGATAAATATGGTGGTTTATTTTTTCTCCCTTTATGACAACACACTCACATTCCCTGAAAGTAAGTGCATCCTATTTTCCCTTCTTTCTGGGGAGTGATTAGAAAGGGAATATTTTCAAATTAAAACCACTTTTAGGAAAGCTATATTAGTCAATTAGTGCCATCTAGTGCAAGTAAGGTGGTGAAACATCCCCAAAGCCACCTAATCAAAAGCCATTTAGAAAAATAAAAACCCAACGCCACTGAGGCACTCAAATGATGCCTCTAACTCTACAGCAGAAACTCAGAGATTCTCAGTAATAAAAGCTATTACATGGCACTAACCTATCTAATCAAATCCCTGCTGATATTCACTTCTTCCACCAGTCCTACAAGCTCTAATTCACCTCAACGTAATGCCATCATCACCCCTATTTTAAAAAGCCATTAAGTTATCCCTTTGACTACAATGAGCTCTGCTCAAGCAGTCTCCAGGGCCCAAGAAGATGCCACTGCAGAACTCTATCATTATGAAGGCTTAAGTATACAAATATACAGGATAACATTTCATAGTTCTCAGTAAAAAATTGTTGATGAGTTACTATTAGTCCTACTTGTATTAAGCATGTGATTTCTCTGAGGTTCCTAAGTTTGACACTAAGCATATTTTTCCCACTAACAGTGTGACATAGGCAATGGAATGTCAGTTAGTTGAACTTTTGCTGACAAAGATTTTTTGTTACCTCAAGATTGGCTTTGTTCATGAAAACTGCACTATAACACGTAATATTTTGTTTGTACAAAACTCTAAACATAAAAGCTCCACAAATTTCCTTTCTATGGCTCTTAAAAAAAATTGAAGATTCCAGCTCTAGTGCATCTCTAAATCCACATAGGCTAAATGTGTTCCAAAGAACCAAAAGTGATGGTTAAGACTAATTAATGTAAAAAAAATTAAGATACAGTGTGAATCTTTCCTTTAGGGTCAAGAACTCTATAACCTCGTTTCACAATTTTTCATCTCTGATGTAAGTCATTTTTAACAATAAAAGTGGTACGATATAAATTTTGTGCATGACAAAGGTGGCTTTGGGACTAAAATGAAAGAGCAAACTCCCAATGAGAAAATGGTCAGACACATGCTCCAGCAGTCTAATTTTATCTGAAATACAGGTTATCTAAATGTAACTTTAATTTGGCTAGTGTTGAATAGTATTATAAAGATACATCTGTCTGTACTGTACAATGTCTTTAGGGAAGGATGGCACTAACCAATATCAATACTCTCAAGGGTATTTTCTCCACCAAGATAATCGCCTCTAGAGCTTAAAGAGTAATATTTTGGGACATAACTAGTTTTAAATGTCATGTGCCAAACTTCTGTTTTTTCAATCAAGACCATGATAGTTCTGTTGAGCCAGTATAATAGTGATACACGAAAGGCATAGAGCATTAAGGATCAGTTAAAGATGAGAATTTAATCTGCACATCATAAGAGTAATAAGAAGTTGCCCAAATTTTCATGAGGTCCTTGCTTCATATAGTTCTGAATTTAATCAATTAATCTATCAAGTAAATTGAGGAAGATACAGATAAGAGCAGAGCAATAAATGATTTGCTAAGTCCCATTAGAGGTTGATTTTCTTTACCAAGGGATTCAGCACTCCAACTGCCTCTAAATTAATATTTTAATATCCTCACATTGTTGTTTAATAACTGGAAATATATAGGAGACCTTTGCAATTTGTGGAATCACTATTCACGGTTCCGTGTATTCATGGGGTTCTCCTATCCCAGCCTGGGGGTAGGGAGAGAGTGGCGGAAGCCAGGAGCCACAGTGAGTTCCCCACAGCCCCCAACAGTGAGTTAGTTCCCCACGGCTCCCAGCATTTGCAAGTTTCACCATTTATGGTGGATGCATTCCCGCATCAACTGCGAATGGTGGGGATTTCCTATAACACTTAATGCCCACATTAGTCTCTGATTTACTTGGTTACTTTTTGAAGTTATAGATTTTCAAAGTTATAGCTTTGGCCTTCATAACATCCCCTAAGAATGATTTCTTGTAAGTTGACTGGGTGATATGTGATAAAATATTTCATTGTTTGTTTTAAACCTGTTGCATATAAATTCAGCAACTGTGCAAGAGAAACAGTTAGGCTACATCTAAACTATATCCCTTTGCCAACAGAGGGGTATACATTAGACATTTCGAAAGTGCAAATGAAGCAGGGATTTAAATATCCCGTGCTTCATTTGCATAATCACATCATTGCGCTGTTTCGAACAAGCACCATTTCGAAAGTGAAACCTCAGTTTAGATGCGGTTCTTTCGACAACGGAGCGCTTTTTCAAAACAGGATCTTTCAAACAAGCATCCCATTGTTGAAAGAACTACTTCTAAACAGCAGTTTCACTTTCAAAATGGCTCTTTTTTGAAACAGCGCAATGACGTGATTATGCACATGAAGCATGGGATATTTAAATCCTCGCTTCATTTGCACTTTCGAAATGTCTAATTTACATCCCTCTGCTGACAGAGGGTTGTAGTTTAGACATAGCCTTAAAGTCTTAGGATACGTCTATAATCCAGAAGAAGATTAAAGCTGCTGTTGTTGATCTTCCAGGGTTCGAATTAGTGAGTCTAATTAAGACAGCTAATTCAAACCAAGAGGGGAGTTCCGGTCGAAGCCGGTAGTCCTGCTTTCAGAAAGAGTAAAGTAAGTCGAAGGGAGAGTGTTCTCCCTTCGACTTCCTGCAGGATAGATAGCACCAAAAGCCAAGTTAAGGTATGTTGACTCCAGCTACGGAATTAACGTACCTGAAGTTGCATATCTTAACTCAGCTTTGTCCTATAGTGTAGACATACTCTAAGTGACTCTGGAAGCACATGACAAAAGGGTGAGGGAAAACTGCCTTCTGATTGGACATCCGTCTTATTACCCTGCTTTTCCTAAGGCAAGAGTGACCAATCAAGAGCTCAGTCTCCCTCTGTTCTCCCCTTGCTACCTGCATAAGCAATGGGTGGTCTCCTAATTCCGCCCCGTCTTGAAGCTGCCAGCAAGGGTTTGGGGGAAGAGCTAGCTCCTGAAACTCAAGGTGTCCACAGCAGAGAAAAGAGCAGGAAGGACATAGCACAAGGTTCTTTTCAAGCATGGTAAAATATGTCGTCTTATATATCTCATAGGTAGGAAGGTATTCCACTATACTATACAGAAATCTTTAAATACTAACAACTCAGAATAATACCCAGATTTTCAAGAGTAGATCTCAAAGTGCTTTACAAAGGAGCAAACTCTCAGCTTTCCAATCCAAGGTGATCAGATGTCATGATTTTATAGGTATAGTCCCCAAATTTGGGGTCTATTATGCCTCACTTCCACCCTGATTTTTCCACACTCACTGTCTGGTTGTCTTTTTCACCTCTGAAGAATGGGATAATGACATAGTTGTCCTTTGCAAAGCACTATTGAGGTCTAATGAGGAAATTGCTACTCAAGAGCTAGTGGTAGAAATGTAGCCGTGTTAGTCTGGTGCAGCTGAAACAAAAAACAGGACTGTGTAGAACTTTAAAGATTAACAACATGGTTTAATAGGTGATGAGCTTTCGTGGGCCAGACCCACTTCCTCAGATCAAATAGTGGAAGAAAATTGTCACAACCATATATACCAAAGGATACAATTAAAAAAATGAACACATATGAAAAGGACAAATCAAATTTCAGAACAGAAGGGAATGGCGGGAGGTAATTAGAGTCTTTATTCAAATGTTTTATTAGGTGTAGTTATAACCTAATTCATGGGCTATGAGCAAATCTTAGGGCTGTGACTACCCTGCTCATCCCATTTTGATATGCATATTTATTTTTAATGATGATTTTTCAAAAGTCTTAACTAACCTAAATGCACATGCAAAAGGCCCTAATTATTGGTTTCTTAATTATGGACTAGATCATGACTAAATCATCATCTAGGTTTGAGGAAGGCAAGCATGTTGTTCCACTGTCCCTAAAGAAGCAAAAGAGGGAGACTGTGTAACTACTCTGTATCTGTAGCAGCACATGTCCCCAGCACAGCTGTGCCAACAAATATGTTGAGTGTGAAGCCTGTGTTCTGCCCCCTTTACCAATGTGTGTGAAGGGGAGAAATAACAGCTCTTTGTAGCCTGCTTTCCCTTCTATCTGCAATGTGCAGCTAGTGGGCAAAAGAAGGTCAGGGTGTCTGTCCTTATGCTCTTATTCCAAATCTTACCCGGGTGCTCCTCATTCCTCATTTTTGGAGGAACAAGAGTTCTTGCACAAAAGAGTTTTTTTGCACAAAAAGGATTGGAAGAGAATATGCAAAGGAGAGCATGAGAAATGCTAAAGCACTTCATTTGCATTTCCTCTGTGGAAGAAAACAAGCATTCACTCTGCGTTGTGTTAAGCAACAAGGTTTCTTCCATACCTCTTCTGAAAAAACCTGATAGTGTAGACAGAGCCTTAGATACAGTAAAATACAATTTCAAAGTGGCAGTT